CAGCACCTTCCTGTTGCCTCACAAGAAGAGTGAGGGCTCACAGTCACAGCATGGTCCCACTGCCTTGCTGAGGCTAGAGAGAGTGGGTGGTAGCAGCAATTCTTCACTCCCACAAGGGCAGACTAGTGTGAACAGTCATGGCATTTCCCTGCCCCCAACCTCGGGCCTGGGATAAGGCACTCTCTCGCAGCACAGCTGAAATTGATGAGTGCATGCAGTCAAGGCATTTTCCTGTTCTCGTTCTGAAGCCAGAGGGCGTGCCTTGCCCCCTGCACGTACCAGCTTCCCTGCTAAAGCCAGTAGGCATGTGAAAACCGCACAGGGGATGCCCCTTATTTGTTTGGCTCTGGTGGCCAAGGGGGCTGGCATTCCTGAGCTCCAGGGAACTATGACAAATGCAAAGACACTTCTTGGCAGACCAGTACCCCCAGGACACTGCATAGACAGCAGGCTGAAACATAACCCCTGTCTTTCTGTGAAAAAAGCCTTTTCACTTACCCTGGAGCTTCAACCTGAGGGACAAGCTTCATGTCTCCCAGACATCTAAAGGCTACAGAGGTGCTCCCAGGGAATGTAAGCAGAGAAAAACCATCCTTGCTCACCCCCTTTGCCTCAATACAGCTCTACCAAACATCCCAGAAAGGAGCTTATAGACTTATCTGGAGCCCTGATTTTTGAAACCGTCACCAAAGACACCTCCAGATCTCCCAATCTGGAGTCCAACTGGGATTGCAATAGTCACCCCACAAGACTATATATACTTGCACACTTTAAAAGCTTCTGCCTGAGTGTCTGACTTCCAATCAGCCTAAAATGAAGTGTTAGATTAGATTCCTCTCCTTGGAACACTGACAGGTCTTGGGGACAGATCAGAAATAAATCAGACTGTTTAGACAATCACAAAGGTTAGGAGACAACTAAGAACCAGGACAAGGGTAAGCGAGAAAGTTCATCTCCCACACATGGCAACTTTTCATCACTGGAAGAAGTAGTTGTTTTGCCAAATATATAGAAACACAGGAAGTCAAGCAAAATGAGGAAATAGAAATATGTTTCAAATAATAGAATAAGACAAAACTTCAGAAAAACATTAATGGCATGGAGATAAGTATCTCTATGTAATGAACTCAATTTGATGGTCATAAAGATGCCCATGGACCTCGGGGGAAGAATGGAGGAGCACAGGGAGAAATTCACCAGCAACAGGAAGTGTGCGAAAGAACCAACCAGAAGTGACAGGGATGAAGAATACAATAATTAAACCGAAAACTACACTAAAGGTGTTCAGCGTGAGACTGGATGAAACAGAAGATAGTTTCTGAGGTGGAACACAAAGCTGCCCAAACAGAGCAACAAAAAGAAAAATGAATTCAAAACGTTAAAGATAACTTAAGAAACTTAATGTGACATCAAGCAGGATAACACTCAAATTAAAGTGGTCCTAAAGGGAGAGGAGAAACAGAAAGGTGCAGAAAACTTATTTGAAAAAATCATGGGTGAAAACTTTCCTAACCTGGGAAAGAAAACACCACGCTGGGATATTCAAATCAGAAAAACAAATAAAAAACACCTCAAAGACCCCAACACCAAGCCACATTATAATTTGAGTGTCAAAAATTAATGATAAAAAGCAGCAGCAGAACAGCCGTTTATTATGTGCAGGGAAGTGTACCCAGTAGGCTACCAGCAGATTATTCAGCACACGTTTCACAGGCCAGAAGAGAGCAGTGTGACGTATTCAGAGTGCTGAGGGAGGCACCTCAGTAGCACAATTGGTTAAGTGTCCAACTTTTGGTTTCTGCTCAGGTCATGATCTCAGGGTTGTGGGATCGAGCCCCACCTTGGGCTCCCTGCTCATTCTGCTTCAGTTTCTCTTTCTTTCATCCCTCTTCCAAACAAATTGTTAGGGTCTGTGATCAATGGAATGAGACTGATGCAAAGTGAAAGTCAAGCAAAGCTTTATTTCGTGCCAAGCATCGAAAGCCAAACCAACAGAGAGGCAGCATTGGCGCCAACAGTACCAGTGAGGTAAAGGGAGGCAGAGGGAGATAGAGGAAAGGGGAAAGATCAGGGCGGTCTCTCTGCTTGGTGGTCCCGTATGCGGACCCCGACCGTGTATGAGGTGGACTGGTAAGGGCATCTCGGGACCGAGAGTCAGGTTTAGGGAACAGATGGGGGGGAATTCCACATCCTCCACATCCGATGGAGGTAGGACGGTCTTCTTCCCTGGTTCCCCCTCATCTGTCTGTTCTGGTTTTGGTGCTTTGACCTGCCTTAGAGGGAGAGAGATGGTTTCATTAGGAGGGGGAAGGTGGGACTTGAGCCATAACGGTGGCTCTTCTATCAGATATCGCCAGGCCACAATGTACGGTATTTGGCCTCGATGTAGATTGAAGACCTCACTCAGGGTAGAATAGATCTGAGCCTAGGCAAACATTCCTTCCGGCAGCCACCCTGTGGAGAAAGTGGGCCACTCTAATTGGCAGAGTGTTTTTAGTTTTCCCAGGTAAACCTTGTCACCCGACTGCATGGCTTTACCTTGAAAATCCTTGAAATGTTCGAGAACAAGACCTAGGAGTATCACAGGTCCCTTACTCCCTGCTTGTCCCATTTCTCCAAATACAACAAACAATACAACAGACAACAAAAAAACAAGGCAAAGACAACCACAGGCCCAGTGATCCCCATCCAGAGCTTGCTTCTGGTGGGAACTTTCTTGGTCCCCGACAAACCAGACAACGGACAACAAAAAAAAAAACAAGGCAAAAAGAACTGCAGGCCCAGTGATCCTTACCCAGAACCTGGCACTGGTGGAGATTTTCTTTATCTCCTGACTGCCTAGGGGGACTCGAACCCCCCATCCGCCCAGGGGAACTCAAACCCCCCAGTGACTGCCTAGAGGGACTCGAACCCCCTGACTGCCTAGGGTAACTTGAACCCCCTGGTGACCATCCAGGAGGACTCGAACCCCCTGACCGCCCAGGGGGACTCGAACCTCCTGACCGCCCAGAGGGACTCAAACCCCCTGGTGACCGCCCAGGGGGACTCGAACCCCCCATCGATCTACCAGCAGAGGGATGGAGCATCCCCACATCCACTCCAGCCCTGGAGCATGGCTGCATCCAGCTTCCCCCCAGTGGGCTATACCCTGGAGCTCTGCAACCAGTCAGACATACAGGATCCCAAGATCTTACCTCTGGAGGCTTTTCCTAGAAATTCTGATGCTGGCTCAGTTCTTATTGTTTGATCTCAGACGAGCCCCAATTTTAGGGTCTGTGATCAAAGGAACGAGACTGATGCAAAGAGAAAGTCAAGCAAAGCTTTATTTCGCACCAAGCATCGAAAACCAAACCGACTGGTAGGGGCCAACTCTTACAAAGAGGCAATGACGACGACCCTGACGAGGCCGCTCCCCGGACGAGGCCGCTCCCCAGATGACGCCGCTCTGGTGAGGCAGCTCCCCGGATGAGGCTGCTCCCCGGACAACAACCTCGATGAGGCCGACGACTACCCCAATGACTACCCCAACGACTACTACTACTCCCCCCCATCCAGCCTCACAGACTAACCTTTATAGAGGTGGTTGAGCCTGGCCCACACACAGGCAGCCAGTGAGATTGCAACACACAGGGAAAACTGCACACTCTTCGTGGGCAATATGGGTGACCAATTGAATTTCAATTCACCACAGTAAATATATGCATGCCCCACTGATTGGATGTCTCCATCTGGTCAGGCTCTCCCCTATATCTGGGGTTTGCAAGTAAGTTCCTCTGGCTAACCAGGCCCTCATACAGGCCCTCACAAAATGAGATTTTAAAAACAAGAAAAAAATGCTGGCTGACTACAACCTGCCTTTCTTTCCAGGGTGCAAAAAGAAAAACATGCAGCCAAGAATTCTCTACCTAGCAAGGTTGTCATTCAGAGTTAATAGGGAGATTAAGAATTATCTAAATAAACAACTAAAGGATTTTATTACCACTAAGCTGGCCTTATAAGAAAGGTTGAAGGGACTTATTTAAACTAAAAAGAAATGTCATAATTAACAAAAAAATACATAAAAATAAAATCTTAAAGGCAAACGCAACATACAGTGTATGTACAACAGAGGTAGTGGGTAAATCACTTATAAAGCTAGAGTGAAAACTAAAATAGTATGTTTAACTGAAACTACAATAATTAGTTAGAAGATTTATATTTTTAAAAAGTTGTGACATCAAAAACATTAAACATGTGGTTCCCCACAGTATAGAACTTCAACAGTTTTACATCAATGGAAAAGTCATCCACACAGAAAGTCAATAAGAAAACATCAGTCTTAAATGAATCATGTATACTGGGGTGAATGGATAAAGATATCACACACATCAATACTATTCAGCCATAAAAAATAATGAAATGATGATGGTCATGGTAACATGGAGAAGCTTGAGAATACTACATTAAATAAAATAAGAGGGGGCGCCTGGGTGGCTCAGTGGGTTAAGCCGCTGCCTTCGGCTCAGGTCATGATCTCAGGGTCCTGGGATCAAGTCCCGCATCAGGCTCTCTGCTAAGCTGGGAGCCTGCTTCCCTCTCTCTCTCTGCCTGCCTCTCTGACTACTTGTGATCTCTCTCTGTCAAATAAATAAATAAATAAATCATAAAAAAAAATAAAATAAAATAAAATAAGAGAAAGACAAATACCATATGGTTTCACTTGTATGTAGAATTGAAAAAAAAAAAAAAAGAAAGAAACTCGGATTCATAGATACAGAGAAGACATTGGTGTCTGCTGAGGGGAGGAACTTGGAGGCCTGGGAGGGTGGAGGGATGGAGCCGCAGGGTGGGAGGAGGGGCTGCTTCTCTTCTGTCCCCTTCCCCCTCCTTCAGGAGCCCTTTGTGACCAGACAATAGCTCAGTGATGTGGGCGTGGGGCTTGTGTCTGCACCTCCACACCCAGGGCTCAGTTGCCTGAGGGCAGCAGTGCGATTGGACGCTAATGTCTGATGAGGAAAGAGATGGAGAATTATCTCTTCCCTCAGGAATTCTTTATTGATGGTTGGCTGAGCTCCAGTCCTACTATCTGGGCAGTTAATTTCATCTTTGCCTTCGTATGTGGACTGGGGCTCTTTGTCTTCTTACTTTCCTATTTCCATCCTGATCCATCCTCACCACCAGGCAAGAGACACAGAAAGAGCAGGAAGGTAAGGAACCCTCGGCCCAGTCCCAGCAGAGTGTGATTCTATCTTCTTTTCTATTATTCTTTCCACTTTTCTGAGTCACTGGAGAGACTCCTGAAATGGGAAAGAATATAACGGGTATTCTCAGGAGAGAGTAGACCATTCAGGACAAGCCAGACTAGGCAGGGGTTAGAGGGACACGAGGATTTCTCCCCGAAGATCTCAGGCCGGAGTCTAGGTGTGGTGGAGGGGTCCAGGACAGCGTCCCAAACAGAGTGACTGGTGGCCGAGGACAGGTGCCTCTATCAGAGGTCAGGCCCCTGAGTACCGGGTCACCAGCTGCCGGTCCAGGACAGGTGTTTCAGGTGAATGTTCCCCCTTCGGGGCTGATTGAGGGCAGTACTGAACCCAGGAGGTCCCAAGCAGCAGCTAGAGTGGGGCTCTGGCCTTGGAAAGTGGAGTCCTATGTGAAAAAGTCCAGCTGCGCCACCAGGTCTGGGGTTGTGTTTCTTGAGCAGAGGAACTGTGGCAAACTTCTCACATAGAATATCCTTCTGTACATTCTTCAAAAAAGGAAAACTGGAAATATTTGTATCCATTTTGAAAAGGAAATGAGTAAAACTAAAGAAAATCACAGCCCACCCCCCCTTAGTTAAATGTAGGAAGTCACGTACTCATGAGCAGTGAGCACCTGCTGCTGGGGCGGGGGTCCCAGCCTCCCTGTGTTCTCTTATCTCAGTACCAAGCAGAGCCACGGAGAAGGAGCAACAGAAGCCAGAAAAGCCAGACTCTGAAAGGTGAGCATCCGCCACTCACCCCTGCGTACCCCAGTTACACTGTGCCCCCTGCTCTGAGGCCAAGCCCAACCATCTCCAGGACACCAGGGCCTGAGCCCATCCCTCAGGAAACAGAGCCCTGGGTGGTGGGTTGGTGGCTCCTGGCAGGGAGAGCACAACCCAGAGGCTTCCCAGATTCTGCGCCAGAACAAAGCCCTGAGGGGCTGGAAACAGGTGTCGCCCAGCAGGGGCCCCAGGGCCTGGACTGGGGGTGGGACCTCCTGCTCCCACTGTGGATAAGCTGTTCAACTCGGCTCAGATTCCTCTGTGAGGCCATGCAGTCCTTCCTCCCCCAGCAAGGTCATGAGTGAGAAAACACTTTGGAAAAGACAAAGCAATCCCCAAAATGAACCCTGTAATCACCGTGTGGGCACGTGGCCTTGGACAGGGCTGTTTGGGGCTCCCGAGTCCAATCCCCCAAAGGTCTCCCCTAAAGGGACATTGTACCCCGTCTCCTGTAAGACCCCTGGGCCCCGCCTTCCTCTGTGACCTGGTCTCCTGTTTCCAGTTTTCAGAGATTGCCTACAGGATCTGGAAGAGGTTCAGGACTTGTTCTCCCTTCTGCAAAGGTAAAGAATCTGCCCCCTTCTCCCCTGGGTGGGCCTTCCCGAGTCTATGGTGTGACCCCCGGGGCTGCAGGGAACGGCCTCCAGGGCTGTTTGCGGGGGGGCTGGGAGGAGCCGTGGGACAGATTGTGACCAAAGCCCTGGGCTGAGGGACAGCAGGAGCATTGTGATGTGGGTGTGGGGCATGGAGGGCCATGGGGTCCCCTCCCAGCCCCAGGCTGCTGCAGGGACAGCTCACACCTCCTGTCTCCTGCAGCCACCTGGAAAGGCTCTCTGACCAAGGGGGCTTTCACCAGTCCTTATGGCAAGCAGCCCCTGGGCAGGTGCACCGAGGGGCGCCAGCTGGAGCCTGTCAGCCATGCAGGCAGCCTGTGGAAGACGCTGTTCCTGCCATGGCCTCATCACCTGCTCATGCTCTGCTGACAGGGCCCCCTCAGCCTCTGGCCTCCACCCTGCCAGTGAGACCTCAAGAAGAGCAAACTAACTTAAAAAAAATCCTACCAGACACAGTGAGAAAGAACTTTCTTCCAGATAATTCCTACTGGGCCTCTCTCATTCCAGCCATCTCAGGCCTTGGCCATGCCAGCTACCCCATTTTATCCTTTTCCTGGTGGTGGGAAAGTACCAAGTCCTTGTTCTTGCCTGGCACATTACAGCACAAGTGCCAGCAAGAACACGTGTCCTGCCACCCACCAGATGCCTCATTCTGGGGTGGCCTTACTAACAGGCAGATAGAGACTCATAACCCTTCGTTTGTCAATCCGGATGTCCAGAAGCTCCTTGAACTACTAATCAGCAAAAGGGTAGAACTGAAGAGTTGGAAGGAGAAAGAAAAGGTTGGGTCAGTTTTCAAACAATGGTGCCCAGACAACCACGTGAGCTTCTGGGGGACTCTGTGGAAGCTGCTGGGTGCTGAGCAGAACACCACCACCCTGCCATCCTTCTGGAACATGAAAAACAAAGCAGAGCCACTGGACCAACCTCAACCATTCTCATCTTCCAAGGTCTTGGAAGACCACTTGCAATGGAAATGCAGCCAGCTCTTCTGGGGTCTCCCCTCTCTGCACAGTGAGTCCCTGGTGGCCACTGCCTTGTTCTATACTCACTCTTCTCCACTACAGTCTCCCTCTGTTTTATTCAATGGGACCTCTAATTGCTTGCCAGTTCTAAACCAGGATCAAATTTCTTCACAGTTTTCCCATGCCCCACCATTGCTCCACCGTGGGATCCAACCCCAACCCTCAACGCTAACCTTGCCCCAGCCCCAGGTCCCCCTTGCACCCTCTGTCCCAATAAGACCACCTTCTCTCCCATCCCAGAGGAGGGCCAGTGGGGTATCTTGTGCTACATCCCAGAATAAGACACGATCCTTCATCCCAACTAAAATGCAACATCTGGAGTGGCCCTTGTTGCCAAAGCAACAAGAAAGGGGGAAGACTTTACCCACTATGGAGAAAAGATCTCCAAAATTCTTTAGCCAAGTCCCTCCCAAGCTTCTGGAGGACCACCAGGACTCCCAGGCCCACAGATCAGGTTCCACTTTTCAAGGGGACTTTGTCATCTTTAATATCCAGAAGCCACAGCTTCAGAGGAAGCTCAGCAGGAATAAACAGCAAAGCAACTTGCCCCACAAGGTTCAGCTGTCTCTGGAACTGAGGTGGCCTCAGGATGAATCCCCAGGGGTGAGTCAGGCACAGAGAGAGCAGGGGGTCTCAAGGCCCTTTGTGTTTAAGGGCAAAAGCAGCCAAGCTACATGGAGGACCAGGTCCAGATACCACAGGAAGTATCAAGCAAGATTCCAACTAGAGAAGAACTTTAGTAAGGGTCTATGGCAGTGTCTGAAGAGGACCCCAATAGGTCTCTCCAGGATCTCAGCTAGGTTCCCAGTGAAGGTTCTGGGAACCAACTCCGAGAAGGAGTTTGGAAGGCCCTTGATAAGGGCCTTGGAGGGTGATCCAGGAAAATACTTAGCCAGGGGACCAGATAAGAAACATCTAGAAAAAACTTTAAAGGTTCATTTGCACAGGAAATTGGGACAGATCAGTGAGGGTCTGATCCCTGTGACTGTTAGTCGATCCCGGTTTGTGGCCAGCCATGCTTTTCCCAAGTCCCAACCCCACATGGCTATCAGAAATCTAGCAATTTTGAAGGATCGGAAGCCCTGCGTAAACACCTCCCATGAGCTGTCCTTCCTTTGTCCTAACACTCAGCAGAAGCTGGAAATACACATCGTAAGTTTTCGAGTGAGGCGTAAGTGGGACCTACCTCTCCAAACTGTTGAGCCCATAGATCTCGAACTATGTGAAGCTCAGCACTTGCCCTTTCCCCAGTCCCCCTTTCTGTGCTCATCCACCTTTGTACCTGGGGCCCCCTCAAAAGCCAAATTTTACAAGTTCTTGGGGAAACCACCTCAGCCCCATCCAGGAGAGAAAGGTATAACTGAAAAGTCTGATCCCACTTCAGGGAGTCCCCTGCCTGTTTCCTCACCCATATGTGAGCAAATTCAGCAGGCCCTGGGAGGGACTTCACCTGGTGATGGCCATCAGTCCTCAGAGACGTCTTTATCAAGACAGGAGGGCAGATCACCTTCTCAGGCCTCCATTCTCAGCCTCCCAAACAGAACCCTGCACAGCAAGACTGTTATGGGGGCCAAGAAAGACAACCTGGAAGCAAGTCCAAGTTTAGCAATGGCCAGGAATGAGCTAAAAGAGGAGAGAGGGGGTCAGGCCTCACCAGACATGGTAGCAACACTGAAGATGAAGCTCAGGTCCCAAACTCCAAGGTCTGAAGGGGCCACAGAGGTGATGGATGCCAAGAAGGCCCCTGCTTGGAAAGTTGTCTTAAGACCCAGTGGGCTGGCCAACAAACCAGCCATTTGTGTGGATCTGAGGAGATCAGGATATCCAGGTGCTAGGAAAAGCCCCTCACCATCTACAGTGTTGGTTGTTCAAGATCCAGAGGAGGTAAGCCTTAAAACAAAGGTTAGTAAGGTTGAGCTCCAAGAGAAGATAGAGTCGGAGAACCAGCCTGAAGGCCATACCACTGGTGTGCTTCCTCAAGATTCTCCCAGTGACATCCTCCTTCCAGACTTTGCTACTTGTGTGCTTGTTGAAGACAGTGGCACCAATGTGCTCCTGCCAGACTCTCACACTAATGCTGTCCTTGCTGTAGACAGCTTGACAGAGTCACCCTCCTGTTCCCAAACGGAATGTGCCAGTGGAGAGACACCAGCTTCCCCGGTGTCACATAACCTTAGCTCAAGTGGATCGAACAGTGAGGGGCAGCAAGAGCCCTGTGGACCAAAGGTTGAGGAAGCAAGTGACAGCCAGAGCAACAGTGAGATCACTGATGAAGGAAAGGACCAGAAGAGACCCAAACCAGAAGAGAATGAAGACAGGTGTACAGAACCGTTGGAAATCAGGGTTTCCCAAGCTAGCGAGATAGGCCACCCTCCCCAGGTCAGAGGATCAGGAGAGAGCCTTGGGAGCAAATACCTCCAGCTCATGCCACCAGAAAAGGGACATGTTTTTCCGGAAAGCCACTTTAGACAAAGGATGAAGAATTTTCTGCAGTGCCTTAATCCCAATAAAAAAAGCAAAGGACTGGAAGGCCCCCTTCAAAAAGGCAAGCCTGCTTCAGCTCCTGCCCAGAGCTGGGTGCCAGTCAGAAGCAGATTGGTTATGGACAACAGGGCTGCCAAAACTCAGACGATCATGACAGCTGTGGGACAAATCCTGGTGGAAAAATTGGGACTCCACCAAGGAATTCGGGCCTCAGAGATATATCAGCACAAGGAATTGCAGGCCCCAGTACATAGGCATTATTGCCCCCACAGGGCTTTCGCCTCCACAGACCAGAAGAGAGTGATGGGAGGGATAGCCTCCAATCAGCAAGGTACCCCCAAGGGTCATAGCTGCCCTAGCAAGAGCCAGCTGACCAGAGACAGGAATGGTGAATGGGAAAGCCTCCCCAGGGACCTGGGGCCCCCAGGCAGACCTGGCCAGCACCAGCCGATGGTGGGAGGTGTTTCAGGTCGAGTTCACCATTATCCTACATGCAGTCTTCGAAAATATGTCTCAACCTATCAGGCAGAGAACGCTTCACACATCTTTCGTGGTCAGAAAGATTTCCTCCAAGAAAAAATCGAGTATATGCAAAGAAAGCCCATTTTTTCTCACATTAGCACATCCTCTGTGTGCTAATGACTTCCCCGTGCCACAATTTTTATTGTTTCCCAAAAATATATGTATGTTTGTTTTTTTCTCATGAGTGGTGCTGGACTTTGTGTGTGCCCTGCTAGTGTGTGTGTGTGGGGAGGATCAAGGTTTTCTCTCCCTGAGGGCCTGTTTTGGCTTCCAGAAGGAATGGGGCCTTAGAGGGCTAGTGACCTTGGGGTTCACCTCCACCCCCTTCCTCACACACCTTCCATTTCCACAACAAGGTGAACAAGACCCAGAGTGGGACCTCGCTCTGCCCATCCTCTCCTGCTTTCCCTCCACCTGATAGCCTATAAGGTCCAATCAGTAGTATTTAATAACCAAGACAACTCATGATTTCCCTATAGATGCCTGCATCCACGATAACCCACAATCATAAAAAAGATACTTTCTTTTTTAAGTTTAAACTACTTCTAAACCATGGTTTTAGTCAGAATGAAATTAAATTCTTGTAAGAGGTATAAAATAATGTAACTTCTTACAAAATAGATGGGAATTTTGAAGTACTACCGTCTTTTGAAGGAAAACATCACTGCCTTGTCTCATCCTGATAACAAGAAATGAGATGACACAGCTCTTTGCTTTCAGCAATTTTATGTGTGTGTGTTAGTTGGTTCTGTGGATCAGATGCATTAGTATTCTTTTTTTTTTTTTAAAGATTTGTGGGACAGACTATTTTTTAATTTATTTTCAGCATAACAGTATTCATTGTTTTTGCACCACACCCAGTGCTCCCTGCAATCCGTGCCCTCTCTAATACCCAGTACCTGGTTCCCCCAACCCCCCACCCCCTGATGCTTCAAACCCCTCAGATTATTTTTCAGAGTCCATAGTCTCTCATGGTTCACCTCCCCTTCCAACTTCCCTCAACTCCCTTCTCCTCTCTAACTCCCCTTGTCCTCCATGCTATTTGTTATGCTCCACAAATAAGTGAAACCATATAACAATTGACTCTCTCTGCTTGACTTATTTCACTCAGCATAATCTCTTCCAGTCTCGTCCATGTTGCTACAAAAGTTGGGTATTCATCCTTTCTGACGGAGGCATAATACTCCATAGTGTATATGGACCACATCTTCCTTATCCATTCATCCGTTGAAGGGCATCTTGGTTCTTTCCACAGTTTGGCGACCATGGCCATTGCTGCTATAAACATTGGGGTACAGATGGCCCTTCTTTTCATTACATCTGTATTTTTGGGGTAAATACTCAGTAGTGCAATTGCAGGGTCATAGGGAAGCTCTATTTTTAATTTCTTGAGGAATCTCCACACTGTTCTCCAAAGTGGCTGCACCAACTTGCATTCCCACCAACAGTGTAAGAGGGTTCCCCTTTCTCCACATCCCCTCCAACACATGTTGTTTCCTGTCTTGCTAATTTTGGCCATTCTAACTGGTGTAAGGTGGTATCTCAATGTGGTTTTAATTTGAATCTCCCTGATGGCTAGTGATGATGAACATTTTTTCATGTGTCTGATAGCTATTTGTACGTCTTCATTGGAGAAGTGTCTGTTCGTATCTTCTGCCCATTTTTTTATATGATTATCTGTTTTGTGTGTGTTGAGCTTGAGGAGTTCTTTATAGATCCTGGATATCAACCTTTTGTCTGTACTGTCATTTGCAAATATCTTCTCCCATTCTGTGGGTTGCCTCTTTGTTTTGTTGATTTTCCTTTGCTGTGCAGAAGCTTTTGATTTTGATGAAGTCCCAAAAGTTAATTTTGGCTTTTGTTTCCTTTGCCTTTGGAGACATATCTTGAAAGAAGTTGCTGTGGCTGATATCAAAGAGATTACTGCCTATGTTCTCCTCTAGGATTTTGATGGATTCCTGTCTCACGTTGAGGTCTTTTATCCATCTTGAGTTTATCTTTGTGTACAGTGTAAGAGAATGGTTGAGTTTCATTCATCTACATATAGCTGTCCAGTTTTCCCAGCACCATTTATTGAAGAGACTGTCTTTTTTCCACTGTATATTTTTTCCTGTTTTGTCGAAGATTATTTGACCATAGAGTTGAGGGTCCATATCTGGGCTCTCTACTCTGTTCCACTGGTCTGTGTGTCTGTTTTTATGCCAGTACCATTATGTCTTGGTGATCACAGCTTTGTAGTGAAGCTTGAAATCAGGTAACGTGATGCCCCCAGTTTTATTTTTGTTTTTCAACATTTCCTTAGTGATTCGGAGTTTCTTCTGATTCCATACAAATTTTAGGATTATTTTCTCCAGCTCTTTGAAAAATACCTGTGGAATTTTGATCAGAATCGCATTAAAAGTATAGATTGCTCTAGGCAGTATAGACATTTTAACAATGTTTATTCTTCAGATCCAAGAGCATGGAATGGTCTTCCATCTTTTTGTGTATTCTTCGATTTCTTTCATGAGTGTTCTGTAGTTCCTTGAGTACAGCTCCTTTACCTCTTTGGTTAGGTTTATTCCCAGGTATCTTATGGTTCTTGGTGCTATAGTAAATGGAATCAATTCTCTAATTTCCCTTTCTGTATTTTCATTGTTAGTGTACAAGAAAGCCACTGATTTCTGTACATTGACTTTGTATCCTGCCACGTTACTGAATTGCTGTATGAGTTCTAGTAGTTTGGGGGTGGAGTTTTTTGGGTTTTCCATATAAAGAATCAGGGACAGACTTTTTATAGGAGTGATAAATAGGACATGTGTCTTGTTAGTGTCAGTAGCCATTCTTACCCCACTTGGAATAAGGGCAAGCGAGGAACCGACACAAACATTTTCTGGGAAGTGATTCCATTACCTCGAACTTTTCTCAGTAGAAGAAAAGGTGTGAGGTCTCAGGTAGGAAGCTGAGACACTTTTGCCCCACAAATAAGTACATAATTCATAGGCTATTAAGACTGGGAGGGCTACTGCAGGCTGTTGGCTGGAAGGATTTGCAGAGAGCAGATGAAGAAGAACAGGCACGTTTAAGGTGTCTTGGCCATAGCCAGGTCACCATTTACAAAATGTGCCCATAATATAAGTAGGAAACAAAACTTGGCCAAAGCATGCTGCTTGTCCTATCTTCCCTCAATTTACACAGGGAAGACACTGCCCTCCACCACCACCTCCCCCTAGAACCCTCCCTCATTGTCAGACACTTACTGCAGACTTCAGATGAAGAAGTAGATAAAGAAAGGAAGAAGAGAAGAGGAGAAGAGGGGAGAAAAAAACTATTACCAACACACACACGTGCACACACACACACACACAATGGTGTTGGTCTCTGCTTTATCCCAGCCACCTAGTTAACAAATGGGGATCCCATGGTATGGAGAGTCTCCCCAAGCCACATGGGTACTCAGTTTCCACATCTGACTCTAATCCAATGCTTCCTCTGCTACACAACTTGAGCAGTGTGAAAGGATCCCTTTCCTAAGTCAGACAGATGATATCCCTACAGGAAATTATTTCCATCACCACCAGATAATGGTACATATCACTATTTCAGAGAGCAAAAAAGGAAGAAAAAGTCATCTTGCCATTTAGATAATGAAAATTTCAGAGAATAGAAACCTCTCTTGATCACAGTCTGGTTTTTCATTTGTTTGTTTTTTAAATATTTTTTTGACAGTGAGAGATAGTGAGAGAGGGAACACAAGCAGGGGAGTTGGAGAGGGAGAAGCAGGCTTCCCGCCTAGCAGGGAGACTGATGTGGGGCTTGGTCGTGGGATCGAGCCAGAGCCAAAGGCAGACGCTTAACGACTGACCCACCCAGGCACCCAAATGAAAGTTTGTAATATTTCTTTAAAAAGAAAAGAATGACAAATGGGAATTTAATTCTATTAACTTTCATGAAAATAAGTACAACGGAGTGTGTTCCACTTTTCCCTCTGGGTGGACTCCTTGGTGAGAAGTGTACATTTCTCCACATCTTGAATCCGCCTGCAATTCCAAGTAGTCCTCACAGATTTTGAGGATTGGAGGCAAAAGTACACAAAACTCAGTTCCTGGAGATACCATTCCTGCTTTGCTCATCTGAGAAGCTTGGGGAGTCCATTAAGAGTGAGACAGTTAGGGCCGATTTAATGTTAAAACCTGTTTAACTATTAGGGCATGCTTAGCTAGAGCGGCTCCATATTGCCTAGGTAGCCATATTGTTGTTTACATCCATGGACTTCACTCCAGAAATAAACGCCCCATTAGTTCCTGGTATCAGTTCCAGCTATCGATTCCAGAAGTAAACACCTTAACAATAGAAGCCACATACCTTGAGGTCTGCGGTTATGCCCTATAAAACCAACCTCTGAGATCGGGAAGGGGTCACTCTCTTCGGAGGCGGCCCCGGCCAGTCAGTCTGACTTCTAGTGCTTGGCATAGAATAAAGCTTTGCATAACTTTCACTTTGTCTCAGTCTCATTCCTTTGATAATGGACCCCAACAGAGACCTTTTTGTGGAGGGGCTCACCAGGGGACTGGACAGGACAGTACATAGGGGTGCAGAAGGAACACATTAGAACTTCCATTTGGAAACTTTTTCATCTCATTTTTTTAAAAAATCCCTATATTTATATGAGCTTTGCCATGGATATAAATTATAGACTTACTATGCATGTAGTTAACTTACAAATACATAAACACACACACACAGAGGCTACATACTCTGAAAGATTTTTATGGGCTCAAAGAATGGTAGAAATGTAGAGACCACTGACATGAACAAGATTCCTTGTCTTTTCTAAGAAGCTGATCCAGAATCCAAAACAATCACAGGTTCTGGGCTCCATCAGCCAAACCATATATATGGCTGGTCCAGAAAGAATGAGGACTGTGGAACTCCAGAAGAGCTGTTTCACCAAACTTGGCAACCTCGATCATCCCCTCATAGACAGGGCATGGGTGACACAGAGGTGAGTGAACCATTCTGCCCCAACTCACCTGCAAACACAGCACAGCTGTGCACAAATAGGACCCCAAGCCTGTGGTGAGGGTTGTGTTGAAGGGAAATGAAAGGGAGCCAAAATTCAGTTAGAGTACAGTGAA